GAGGGACGCAGGGCAGAGCGGGCAGCAATTTGAGCAAACGTATTGCCCATCCTAGAATTCCGGAAAGCAGGGAGGAAAGGCATAACCAGTCTGTCTTGAACTAAGAAGGCAGACAATCCTGCAGTCCTGACCTCACTGGAGGCAAGAAATCAACACTGTCTGCTCAGAATGAAGGTGGTACAGCTGAGACAGGGAGGCTGTAGGTGGGCAGGGGATTTACCCACAGCACAGAGATGAGATAGAGATTGTCATCGGAAAATAGGAGACTGCAGTTTAAGATTTCAACCGTTGAGCACGTCACGATTAGGACACTGTTACAGGTTGAACTGTATCCCACCAAAAAATATGTTGAAGTCGCAACCCCCAGTACCTGTAAATGTGGAAATAGGGTGACTGTAGGTATAATTAGTTAATATGGGATCATACTGGAGGAAGGTGGGCCTCTAATCCAATAGCATTGTTCCTATAGGAAGATGGCCATGTGGGGACATAGACACAGGGAGAAGATGGTGGGAAGACAGAGACAGAGATTGGAATGAAGCAAGCACAGGGCAAGGGACCCTTAGAGCCCCCAAAGTGGGAAGAGGCAGGAAGGATCCTACCCTAATGCCTTTCCGGACAGCATGGCTCTGTTGACACCTTGATTTTGGACATCTAGCTTCCAGGACTCTAAGATAATAAATGTATGTTAAGTCACTTAGTTTGTGGTACTTTGTTCTGAGAACCCTGGGAAACAACACAGGCCACTGTTCAAACACTGTTCAAAATGCCCCTGAAGCTGTGGCTTGATATAGCAGACTGGCTGGTGGCTGGCTGCTGGAGGTGGGGTAGGAGGATGCCTAGCCTGTGCCGCTACAGCCACATAACAAATATTGGTGACTGCTGTACCAGTACTTTCATGAGTTTACACTGTGAGTAAGTTAAGTAACGGAATTATGGGAAGGGGCTAGCTCTGTGTATAAGCAAGTTGTCCTACACACAATTTAACCACAAGCAGTGAATCCAGGCACAAAAAAGTTGCTGACCACGTTTAGTAGGTGCTTTCCACTAGACCTCTCTTGCTGAAACAATTCTCTTTCCTTTTGAACACAAAAACGTTGGAAAAACTTAGAAAATATCCAAAACAAAGATATGGGTTTTATTTATACTTTGTCAGCAGCTGTTAGCTTAGTGATAGCTTCCCAGTGGCCTGACTCCTGCCTGCGTGTGGATGGATCATGGCTTGAGCAGGAATGGGCAGGTCTGGATATGGCAGCAGCAAGACAGGAGGGTCAGGTGAGGCCGGCCTCAGAGGGACAGCAGGTGGTACAGAAGAAAGCAGGGAGGAGGGTTGTCAGAGCCAGGAAAGAGGAGGTCGATAGGCGTCAGTCACTCAGGAGCACAGCCCAAACAGTTCACCCACGCACTCAGTGAAAAAACATTATTCACTGCCTCCCACATCAGATACCCCATCTCTCTCTGGGCAGTGCACAGTAATTGCCTTCATGTATTGAGTACTTGCTATATGCAAGACATTAATATTCATCATCTCTTCATTGTCTCATTTTATTCTCACAACAACTGGGTTGGGTGGGTAGTTACTTCCACTTTGCAGATAAGGAAACTGAGAATTGGGACATAATCGGTATCCCCAAGGCTGAGTGTTCAGTCACCCTCAGTTGTTTCTGCTGCCAAAGCCTCCACCCTCTGCCTGTTAGCTGATACCATTCATTAAACCCAGACTGAACACAGTCCCTAACCATGGGGGTGAGGAGTACACCACATAGTGAGGAGAAGAAATGCAAATGAGGGGGTAAAAGGAGAGAGGGCACAGGGCAGATGGGGCCCCAGAGCAAGTGCACAGGGTCTGTGAGGGCCATGGAAGGAAGGAGGCACCTTCTTTTCCCAGAAGAGGGGAAGCATTAAAGGCGGGGGGTTAGGGCTGGGACTGGCATGATCTGGAGTATGGTGTTGAAGGATCACCCCAGGTGGGTAGTGGAGAATAGGTTGGAGAGGGGCTAGAGCAGAATTTCAGAAGAGAAGTGAGGAGACATGAACACAGACAGGAGCAGAGGAACAAAGAAGGACACCTCACCAGCCTACTGCATGAAGCCTCCTTTCTGTTTCCCACTATGCTCTATTCAGAACAAATCCAACTGCCTGATTTCCATTCATTGGCTGCTATCTTGATTCTCAATCAGCTGAAAACTTAGGAGAAGCCTATATGAGCATCCTTTAGAAGGTCTCTAAAATAGGAACCTTTCTGGGCATGGCAGAACTAAGGGTGTGTGTTTTAGCTTATTTGGGTTTCTTTGTTTGTTATTGTCTCATTTAAGGAAGAAGAAATCTGAGCATTTTTATAAAAAGAGAGTGATCATCATTAGTGAGGAAGAAATTTAAGGCCATGGCAAAAAAGAAGGGATAATGGATAGAGCAACAATCTATTGAAAGAAAACTACTCCAGAACACTGCAGAAAGAACTGAGACAGGGTGTCTGGTCAAAGAGAAGATGGGGTACAATGTACGGATTCCAATTAGGTCAGTGACAATAGATGACTCTGCACCCAGGCTCAGCAGGGGACATAGCAAAGCTAAGTGAGGGACAGAGGCTGGAATCTGTCTTGGATGAAGGATCAAGCAGAGTAGAAAACCAGGGCCAGTAAACCAGGAGAAGAATTGCCCGGCAGAAACCAGGAGAGGGAATAAACAGTGAGCAAGTTAGACCTGGAAACCCTGAGTCAGGCTCTTTTCTCTCTGTCCCAGGAGTCAGGGCCTCCCTGGTGTGGCCAGAAGAGGAGGAGGGTGAGGGCACTTCTCTCTGAGGAAAGCAGGGCCACTCCATGCACGGGAGCTATGAGGGCAGTGAGTTGAGAATCTAAAACTTCCTGTGTTCAACAAATGATGATGGCAGGGCTGCTGTGACTGGGGTGAGCCCGGGTTAGCTCTCTACCGCCTTTGTTCTATCACTTGACTCTCAAATGGAAAGGATTCCACCCAGAGAGTGAGCAGAATCCAGCCATCTGGTCAACCCATGGGTATTGAAGTCACATGTAAACAAACAGCCGGCATTTATAACTCATGCTATGACCTGAATTATTTTTCCAGGATATTCTTAAGGGTATCACTTTAGTGAAGAGAAACTGTGCCCCTAATTACTTTTTTATTTTGCTTTTGGTAAACTTTAATTGCGATGCCTTTGAGTGGGGGAATTTTAATTTTTAACTGGAATCTTTGCTTGGTGAATAAAAATCAACAAACAAATAGGAAGAACTTTGAGATATACAGATGAAAGCTTCAGGGATGAAAGGAGGCCTTCCACCGAGAGTCAATGGGTTCAGTTGCAACCGGTTCAACAGAAATAATGTTAACAGAGAGAATCTATGAATAGTTACTCTTTGGTTTGGAAAAATCAATCCATGTCACTCTTTGGAAGCATAGAGTCATTCAACTTCCTGGAAAAACTTGATGAAAACACTTTTTGCAAGGAGTCTTCAAAAGGCAAACTGTGATAGTTGGTTTTACTATATTATTTGGCCAAATACTTGTGTCATATTTATATATGCACATATTCATAAGCAATAGGTCTAAGCCAGTGGTTCTCAATCTGAGGCAATTTTTGGAAATTTTTGTTATCACAACTGGGGGTGGAAGAGGGGTATTGCATCTGGTAAGTATAGGTCAGGGATGCTGCTAACCATTCTTTGATATTCAGGACAACTCTTCCCATATCCAAAAGAATTATATGACCCAAAATGCCAAGAGTGCTGAGGTTGAGAAACCCTGCTCTATGTAATTAGCTTGTACTTGGCAAAAGGTCAGCAAATCTCTGTAGAACTTGAAAGCTTAAAAATAGTAAATATTATAATGGCAATTTAAAGATTTTATCTTAGCAACTCTCAAATAAATGAGAGAAGGGATTACATATGGTGTCTATATCTATCCATATCCTTGTGTTTGTGAGTGTGTGTGTGTCCACACTCACACGTGAATATATACATATACAAAGGACTGAATTTCGGCTGCCACATCTCAGGACATGGTGCAGGGTCAAGCCCAGTAGTGAGCAGGTGACAAAGGTCTAGCCCAAGATTGATGGGAAGTCTTCTGGAGGTTCCTGATTTCTTAAAAAAAAAAGAAGAAATGTGGTTCTTCTTCCACTAGGTATCATCACATCTGGATGTAGGACGAGAAGCTGCAGCAGTGAATTAGCATCCATGAGTGCAGCCAGCCTGAGAACCAACATAACTAGACAGGATGTGGATGGCAGCAAGACCAGTGACAGGACTGGGGTCTTTATTAACATTTGAGCCACTGATAAAAGCAACTCCAAATACCCCAGCCTTCTAGTTATACAACTTGGTACCTTTCTTTCTAAATCAGTCAAGCTATTTGGAGCTACCAGTAGCCACACACATTCTGTAATCGGTATCTGAACATTTCATGAAATGCTAATAATTTCCCTTCTTAGATATACAGGGTCGATCAGAAGTAAGGCTTGCTTGAGTGTGGTTGGTAGGGTGTGTGAATGTCTCACACAAGATGGATGGAATTTGAAATTTCACCTAAAATGTCATATGGTGTTCTTGAGTGTGACATTGTTACATTACAGAATTACATGTTTATGATTTTGTAATAAGAGATTTTATAATAAAAGGCGGTGCTATTGTGCCAGACCTTGTATAATAAAGACATTAAGAGAAAGTGCATGAGTCTATGGATATCTTGGACACATCACATTTTCTAAATTACAAACAGTAACACTAAAAAACAGCATAAATTCAATGATTATCAAATGAGTCCTATTCTCATGATCCACACTGTTAGGAATGTCACTGCTCTTTCTATCACCGAAGAGCCATATGATGCCCTTCCACATGGAAGTACCAAACAAGTTGTATTTTGATTTCTTTAGAAAAGACACATACTGTACTTTAGAAACTGTGGCAATTTGGTTTTGAACACCACATAACTAGGCATCACAGACACATGAGAGGGGAAATGGGAGTGAGTGTAAGACTTACCATTGAGCCACTTGGAGTTGTACTGGGCCGTGCGGAGAGGAGGTAACACGCCCAGACTTCTATAAATGGCAGGATCGCGCCCTGGGAAATCCATGGCTGTAGCAGCATACAGCTCCCCGCTGGCTGTGAGGAGAGCTGTGGAATTGTGCTGGGGACTGTAGGGACAGCGAGCCATGCCACTGATCTGATCATGGATCTCAGTCAGGTTATTCAACTGTGGGTGAGGACAAGAGAGGGAAACCAATTATCCCCCGGTCAAGCCCTTTAATAGTGTTAATGCCTGAACTGCTAATGAAGCATGGGCAACAAGCTTTCTGACAACACACAACAAACTTTCACACTCTGCCCTTGATGAAACTGCATTCTATGGTCATGGTTAAAGAGTCCAAAGATCAATCTCTCTTATCAGCCCATTCGAGCTCCAAAACCTCATGCTAGTGAATCCTCACAAAATCTGAAAATTGTTATATGCATATGGCTACTATTCAATAATGCATGGGGCACTGTGGATCTTTCCAGATCTTTCCACTTAAAAAGAGACATCAAATTTAATACTTACAGAAATATAAACCACAATAAAGAATTATGTACACTTTTATCAATATAAGTGATTCAGCATATTATGAATAGCCCAACACTGTGTTCACAGGTAAGGATGTATGGATATTTATAGCACCCAGTAACCCAACTTTCCAAAACTTAATTATTCAGCTTTTAAAGAGACAACTCCATGTCCTGCTGTCATCTAGGAGGGAAGTCAGCCTCTCAGTCACTGAAGGAGAAAAGTTCTTGAGTGGGGAGGGAATCTTAGGTGCATTTGTTCCTTCACTCTTTCCTGAGAGGCAATAGAGCAGAGGGGTCAGGGGACACTCAGAGCCACTGCCTGCTCTACAGGTGGACTACAGCCCCGTTAAGTTACTCAAAATCTCTATGCCTCCGATTCTCCTTTTATGAAATGGGGACCCAAAGGGGAACCACTACATGGGGTAGAAGCGAGGATTAAATGAGCAAGTCAACAGAGGGCTCTTGGAATAGGGAATGGCCCCCAGGGATCTCTGTGAGCATCACTTCTTATCACCATCATCCTCACTTTATTTCCAATAACTGAATGTTAATTCAAAAATAATGAACCCTGAAAGCTGATGATAAATTCCGATTTTTGGGAGAAGTTGTGCAACCAGAAAATTAACCTGATGATAGTTCAGTATTATGTTCCCTGAGGAAGATCAAAGGAAGACCCTTCATTGGGAAGATAACTGTGTGCTTTGATAGCCCTGGTGCTCTCCTGGCGTAAGATGCAGATGCTGAAAATCCCTGTCAGTAATGATATAACTACTTTGCCTAGAGTTCCAGTTGTTCGTTTCCTTGCTTTAAAGTTTTGTCATGCTTCTTATCCAATCTGTAATATCTTTGTTCATTTGGATTGTGATTTTAGGCCACTTTAATACTTAACAATATCTCCAGAGTAAAGCAGAAAAAGAAAAAAAAGAATATGTTTACAATTAATGTTTAGAGTCACTGGTGGGGAAAAACTGATAGAAATAGTTTAGAATTCCATTCAAATTTAATTATACAAGCTATGGTTATTTCCAGTTATTTATATAATTGAAAGCTGGGATTAGGAATAAATCAATACATCAAATATTTATTCAATTTGATGAAAGGTGTATTTTGAATTAAAGAGTAACTCATTGGAAAGCAGAAATACAAAAAGACATTAGTGTTTTAATAGAAGGTTTGGATTTTCCTGGTATTAAGTTTTTGTCAACTCTCAACATGAAGCCATACCGTGCGGTTGGTGCAGACAGGTGTGAAAGCATTGGTCCCACAGGTAAACAACCGGTCGCCACCCACCAAAAGCACCCGGATGTAGTTCTGACACTCATCCTGAAAAAAAAAATCACAAGAAATATAGTAACAACGCCTCAGCCCAAAGGGGATGCTGACTCTAAACAAAATCTGTCTAGCTAATAAATGTTAATTGACCACTAAAAAAAGAAACCTTCTTGGATATTTAACAAAAAATACCAACAAAACTATTAAATAATCTACCTGCATGCTTATTCAATAGAGGATACTATGTTCAATTAAAATCTCAAAGTGTGTATCTTCTTTTCATGAATAGGGTTTCATTTTGAATTATATTTGATATCAATACAAACCCAAAATTGTCTTTGCCATGTATTAGGAAAGTAAATAAAATGAATATATTCACTGCTGCTCATAAAACAGTATCTTAGGAAACTTCCTCAGGACTTTGAAAAAACACTGTGGATGCTCCTCCGAATGCAAAAGTCACATGTGAAACTTCACAAATTAGAACAGGTTTCACATTAAGTTCTCAAACTACATTACATACAAAGCAAGAGTCTTAACATTTTTGGTTCTTTGGTAGACAAGTAACAAAGAAAGGATGTCTGAAATATATGGAAGAAAGCCCATGTGGAGGCGTGACCCAGAGCTGAATAATTCTTGCAGTTAGTTGCAAAGCATTCCTAGAAAACCTGGGGCATGGTCATAGGTGTGCATGGACTTGGCACAAGCATTTACGGATCAGGTACTCTTGGTAGGCCCTACACTGAAGGTCGCAATCTATGCTCTTAAAAAGAAAAATTAAAATACAGGCCCACAGCAATTACTTTAGGGTTGTCCACAGAAGAACAGGGTATAACTAACTCTAGAGAGGAGGGGAAGCAAGAAGGTGTAGGAAGGCTTGGCAGAGGAGGTGACACCTAACGTGAATTTCAAAGGGCAAGTAGAATTTACAGAGGCTTCTGGGAGGAGGTACCATCTGAAAGTTGCAGGATTTTACTAAGCAAAAGAGGGAAAAGACACTCCAAGCAGGGGACAGGACTGTGCCAAGGCACCCTGGCTAGAGAAATCCTGGTGCTCCTATTGTGTATGCAAGAGGCAACACAGGCTGGGGAGCCAGACACAGGCCAGGTGTGCCAGGTGGATGAGTTTGCATTTTATTTTGATTGTGAAGGGACCCATTAAATGCTGTTGCTGCATGAAGCTCAGACTTGATCCAATGCTTGTGATTATAGGATGACTGGGAATCAATGTGGAAGCTAACCTGGAAATAAGGACTGTAGTTCAGAGACAAGTAAGGAAACCATGTCTATAATTCAGTCCATCCTCATCCTGGGTCTAAACCAGGTGAGAATTGTAAAAAGGCAAGGCTAGAGTCCAGTAAATCAAGAGGATGTGGGCAGTGACCAACCAGCTAGACCCAGAAGATGATGTGAGGACTTGAGCAACACCTTGTCCAAAGTCAGGGAGATCTGGACTTAATGACACAGCAATGATCCTTCAAAAAAATGGAACCCCAGTCTCCATGAAATGTTGCTCCAGTCTGCTATGTAGCCTGGCTATGATGATGAAAAGAGCTAAGCTATGTGGATTTACTTTGTAAATGTAAAGTGAAATATCAAGGGTAGATATGTCTTCTAATGCTAATTCTAGCAATACAGGTAACATATTATCTTTGGGTGCCAACCTGAAGACACTTTAACTGAGGAAAGAAAACCACAGAGTGAGAGATCTAATATAACTATCAGAATACTTAAGAAATGAGTGTAAACAGTAGACAGTAAATTGGGTGAGAAAGGAGCACCAGATGGGGAGGTGTGTTTTGTTTTGTTCTGTTCTGTTTTGTTTTTATAACTGGGGAGAGGGCAGGAGAGTTCTAGAGAGAAAGCACAAAACAGGACTTCAGAGAACCATATGGTCATGACTTCTTGGACTCCGGGAGCGTACATAGAGCACAGGAGGGATGTGGTAGAGCTGCCACCTCAGGGAGCAGAGGGGTGCAGAGTTTGCAAACACAAGATTAAGGCGAGGAGGAAAACACAAAGCATGAGCTTGTCTGAGGGCAAGTCCAAAGAGACACCCTGGGGAACACAGGGCCAAGAGGGCTGGACTCCTGAACAGATAAAACAGACACAAAAATGACACTATATTAAAGATAAAGATGGAGAATTACACAGTGGAGACAGTTGGGGGTTTTGTTTGATTTCTGCTGCTGCTTTTAAAAGTCTTTCAAGGATGAGTCAAGATGTACAGAACTTTTTGTTTGTTGTTTTGAAGCAAGAGACTGACATGAAATAGAAATGTGCTCAAGGCAGTCCCTGTTAACCATGAAAATGGTGTGGGGCAAGTTAATCCAAGACAATCTGTCCAGCCTGAAAAGATGTGACCTCAGGGCTGAATTCTACAGACTTGGTGAAGAAGGAGCAAGTGCCTTTAATCAATTATGAGAAGGCAAACAATCAAGATAACAAAGATGGTGTTTATCTTAATCTCCCCAAAGGAAGACAAAGTGAAAATAGGACTGTAGGTTATTAACAGTCCTTAAGGCCCATCACAAACTTGAGAAAGAACGAGGAACCTGTTTAGGGAATGTGAAAGCCAGCATGCAGACCTGTGCCAGGGAAGCAGGACAAATCCAACTGGTAATTTATTTTAAGTCTTGGAGAAAGGCAAATGAAGGAAAAAAGCTATTATTTCAATTAGCATGGAGTATTTTTAAAAAAAATAAGAAAAAGGAAAAGATATGTTCCGGTAACCAGGACCACACCGGGCAGCTCTGCTACCTGAGGAGGGCGAGCCATGTGCCCGCGATGGGTTTCCCCCAGCTCAGAGTGTAGGAAGGAAGGAGGTAAATGTCAGGAACCAGGGCAATCAGACATGAAGGTCTGGGCAGTTCTTTTCTAAAAGGAAGGAGGGGGACCCAACCCTAGGGAACACAGACTTGCTCATGACAAATGGGACCTAAGGAGGAGAATGTTCTACATGAGGCCAGTATGCAAGGTCAGAGGGAACAGAGTGTCCTACAAGAGAAACCTTTGGAGGCAGGTGGTATTTTGTTTCTTCTTAATGGTCAAGAGCTGAACTCACTTGCCCAAAGGTCTCAGACAGCTCATCTCAGACCCTTCCTATTCTTACTCACTTAGAAGGACTCCTAGGTTTAACTTACAAACTGCCTTGACTCACTCTAGAAGCAGCCAACGTGAATCTTAACTAAGGAAATACACATAAAATAACAACTCCTTAGGTTTTTTTAAAAAAGAGAGATGGGGACAAGTTCAAAAAAACAAAACATAAAAACATAAAAATGAGAGAAAGTGGAGGTACTTAGCTTTGGGACATAAGATAAATTTAGGAATGAAAAGAGTCAAAATTAGGAATGACAGAAAATAGTCTGTGTGTCAGGCTTGGTAATAATTATTCTCATTCTGGTAATGATCCTAAAACCCAAATTCTCCTATAGAAAATCTCCTGGTACTCTTTGTAATAAGTCTGTGTTACAAATGTGGCCTTCACATGGGTTAGCTGAACTTGATAGGAGGCATGCATAGAGTCACCTATTTTAAAATATAGACATTATATAGAAACCCCTTTAAGAGATTCTGTTATAGGTTTCTCTTATAAATCAGTTTATCTAAATGTCTTTGAATTTTTTTCTCATCTAATAATTTTTTTTCTTCACCCCATCTTCAAAATGGATGAAGGGGATTTAATGCACTCTGGTTTTCCAAGAAGTCATAGTGTTCATTTCCAAGGTCACTAGCAACCTGCCACCACATGGCTTCTGTTGTTGACAATTAGACTCATCTATTTCCATTCTGATAATGCCACTTGGACATTAAAATGACCCATTTGTGCCTGTACTCTTTCAGGCTGGTCAACCTGTCCTTGACTTTAAAGCAATTCTTATTTGAATTGATAGCCAAAATGCATAGTTGCTGACTCACTGAAAGCTTTTAGATGAGACTGGCCAAGACTCACTAGGTCTCAAGGATATAAGGTCTGGCCTTGGAAGAGAAAACACATGTTTTAGGACCATTTTCTTAATGAAGTAACTGGTTTTGCCTTATAGCATTTCATCATTTTCCTTTCAAACAGTTATGTTCTGCTTGAAGAAAGACTATGATTGTGTAGAAAAATTAACCGTAAACAAGGTAGATGCTTCAGCAACACCCAGCCATCATCAAGCCCATCAATTTCAGGGAGGAGGAAGGAGGAAGGAGGAAGGAGGGCTGGAAGCCTGACAGCCTTTATGTTAATCACAGCACTCCCACTGAAAGCAGTGTGTCTATCTCTTAATGATGCATTTGTGAGCATCCAAAGGGAGCATCCGAGGAGCAATTTAGAGTAATTGCAGGCACCTTTTCGGTTCAATGTACACCAACCAAAGTCATGATTACCAGGTGGATCTTGAAAAATCACATGATCCAATCAGATATATGTATTTTATATTATAAATATGCATACATATTACAGAAGTATATATAAATACAGGGATGGGCAAAAGTAGGTTTGAATTCAACCACCTCAGGAAGCAGTGGGGCTAACCCAAGTGGGTCACTGAAATTTGTGTTCGTTTACTGACTTTCAAAGGCTACAAGAGTGTGTAAATAATAAAGGCCAGCAATTTGAGCACTTACAAGATTCTACTTATGTACACTGTGCCATTGTGGCATTCTTTTGAGTTAATAAAGCTATTGTAGCCCTAGCCAGGTATCTCAGTTGGTTAGGCATTGTCCTGATACATCTAAGTTGTAGGTTTGACCCCTGGTCAGGGCACACACAAGGATCAACCAATGAATGCATAAATAAATGTTTTTTTGCTCTCTCTCTCTCATCAATAAATAAATAATTTTTAAAAACTATTGTGATAATCATAACCTGCATGTCTTTTTACATATGAACAACTGTAAACCTACTTTTGCCCTACCTATATATAAATATATCATTATCTCTCTCTCTATATGTAAGTTTATATATATAAATAGAGATATAGTTATGTATGTACACATATGTATATTATGTTATGTAATACACAGTATACTAATAAATTAAAATGTAATTTATATATTTATTTTTACATAATGTGACTATTTTCAATGAAGTTGACTCCATGGGAAACTTGTCTGGGAACCTCCAAATAAAAAATTGGTGTACATTAATCTAATCTAAAGAATCCTCAATTTTTGAAGCAGTCATATAGGATTAAGGCAGGTCTGTAGTTTGCTAGGGGAACTGATTAGCTAACAGCTTTCCAAATACTGGCAATTTAGGTGAAAATGGCAAGTTTCAACCTGATGCCACCAGGTTCCCAGGCAGGATGGCATCACAGTTTTCTGTCCGTCACTCAGTGGAGTTTAACCCTTTCTTGCGCAGTTTGAGAACTTGGGAGCCGGATCACGGGACGCAGCAGGAGGAACAATACACAGAGCCCTGGATCCTAATCAAAACTCTCCCACTAACTAGCAAAATAATTCTAGGAACTTGGTGTTAAAAGTACTGAAATGAAATCATGAACAAGAAACTTTTGAAAGTTATAAAGTGCAACATATACACAATGTAGCTCTTTCATTCCCTTAATAATCAGTTGTGTTTCCTTTGTAAAGTTCCTAAAGGTCATGGTGGGAAAGGCTTTGGCTCAGACAAAATAACCCCAAACAGACAAGGAACGCTTGTTAGGTCACCAGAGAATTGACTATTTATGTTTAAAATAATATTTGTGTAAAAGATATTTAAATAGCTCTCAAAGCCGAATTCTAAAAAGGTATTCAAAAAGGACTAAATACAACAGATTTTATTAAAACGTTTTTGGAATTTATTAAAACAGATTTTCCCCTCTTTGGTACATGGAATGTTTAAGTCATAGCAGTGAAGTCACCCCATCTTTCCAAAATACACTGAAAACTGTATAATAAAATAGAGCTCAAACCTCAGGAAGAATTAGCAATCTCACCCCCACCCCTCTCTTCTAAATGGGCCCAAATCAAAGATTTGGCGACATCTTTCTTGACCCTGATTCTCTAAATTGTCACTGGAATGGACTGTACACGGAACAATGTCGGTTCAGTCCCAGCGATCCTGTTCCCAGGGAAACAGGAGGAAATGTCTCATCTTTCTTCCCCCCTGCTCTGCAGGCAGCTGAGACAGGTTCTCACCAGAGGAGCGAGTGGGCGCGGCCCCGCCACCCGCAGGCCCAGCCCCTCACCCTTTCCCCACATTCCTGGCTCTGCAGTAAAACGCATTGTGTGGAGCAGCACAGACCACTTTTCTTAGCGTACAAAAAAACCCACTTCAGTCAAAATGGCTGGCATTTTTCTCATTTTTGAGATGTCACATTTTGCATTATTCTTTTTATTTAGGGAGAAGGGGAACTTTGTAATTCTGTGTCAATTCTCACAACACTACCGCACAAACAAAGATGTGAAACAGTTGAATTCTCATTTCTCAAGTCATGGATACAAAGAAAAATCTGATGTTCACTCCCCCTGACCGATGTTATGTGTTAGTCAAGTTGACTCTGAGGATGTTTTCTGGGTTGGTTCCTGGCATTGTCAGAACAGGGAAACTTGGGGTGTCTGAACTCTGAATTCAGGGCTTAGCCAGTGGCGCTTGGCCTAGCTATGGCTTTTCACTGGGGTGGCCTGGCTTCCACCACTTCTGGCCCCGGGGAGCTGGGCTCAGGTCCTCATCAGATGGCTCCTATGTCGGGTGCCATGTTAAGAAAGAATCAGAGGCTAAATAAATGCTAAATAAGAATGAGGTCATCAGACAGTGCCCTGGGACCCTGGAAGGCACTGTTGTGATCAGGCAAAGGGGAGGTTGTCGACCTTAGAGCCACAGAAAGGAAGGCTGAGGCTTTCTATCAGGGAATCTTACTGGTAGAAAGAAAGCCATTTTTTTCCTCCCAGCCCCAGGTAAAGTTGGTTCCCCATGTTACATCCCTCAGCACGGTGGTCCTATTTGAAGAACACCCTGTGCTCTGGCGAGTGAGGGACAAAAGTACAGCACATCTGTCCTATCAAGATGTGTAAACATTACAGGGAAGAGAAAGCACCTTTTCAAAAGGCTTGTACATAATCTATACAACCTCAGTAAGGTTATTGAGATAAATAGATTTATTATGAACTTATTTATTTTCAGGGATATTTTAGGAGACTGTATTCTGATTCCTTGTAACCTGGGGCTACCTTTAATCTTCTTGTATCTTTGTTCCTCCCATGATTTATTTCAGAGGCATTTTCTGAGGTTAGAGATCTTTTGATAAATAGCTTTTCTTTTTCCTTGTCTCCAAGTGCTTCCCTGGCTAATAAGACTGTACTTTCCTCTTCATCCTCTTCCTTCTTCTTAGTTCTTTATTCAGCTTTGGGAAACACAATGAGTATGTTTTCTGAGACCTATGTGTTTGACACTCAAAACTGTTGAGTTCAAAGACAGAGAAACAGGAAGTGAAATTGGGTAAAATCAAGTACAGGACAGTCTTTTGCAAATACAGATGGTGTGAGAATGCTTTCCCAGCAATCTTTCCATTTGCTCTATTTTCTGCCCTTGGACCACACTCAGGAGAGAGCCCTCTTTGCTGCTCTTAGTGAAGCGACTTTCTTCTGCAACCCAAAGTGTGATTCACACTGAAAAGCCCTTGCTCCAATGAAGTAAGATGATCACTCAGAATGAGACATAATGAGCCTAAGATCCAGTGACAGAAGAATTTCCTCAACACGATCCAGTATCATTCTCTTAGAAACACAAGAGTTTCTGAGTCGTCATAAGCCTGTTTCGGGGCCAGCCAACTGCATGAAAGTTCTCCAGCCATGAACACAGTTGATCAAGACATGCATTTCCAGGCTATTGTATAATCTGCTCTTTCCTTAGGAACTTGGGGAAGGGGGTGTAGATTTTCTTGTGGAGAAAGTGCTTATTCTAAAAATATATTAAGATAAATTATAAAGGAATCTCAACTCATTTTTGATGACATTATTTTAGGTATAACATAGTTACTTTATGGGGTTAGCTGTAAGACACAATCTAGGAAAATTAAAATATTATTTAAAAAATTCAGGCCCATATTATTCTAAATGATATCATAATTAATTACTTTCGTACCTCAGTCTAATGACTAAGGGTACAAATTAGATCTGATCTTATGTTCTAAATTTTCTTTGGAAACTAATCTAGTCTTAAAACCTGGAGAATTTAGTGGACATATATTTTAAATCTTGCTTTTATTACATGGCACCTTAATCAGGAAGAGCCTTCACATTCACATCCTTTATGCTTCATCCTTCAGCCAGTGACGGCCGCCCATGACCGTGCCCCCCTTACCTCTGATTTGCCTTTACTGTAACAGGCCTTCTTGGTCGTTTCATCACACTCCCACTCCACAGCCTGTAGGAAACACCAAAATGACCACAACTATTATGGCTGTCATTGAACAAAAAGGAAAAAAAATAAGACACCAGCAACCAGACTAGAAAATATGGGTGCACCATAACATCAATATTTTCAAATTAAAATAGAATTTAAACCCAGTATATAACATTCAATCATTTGGGCTTAGGCTGAGCTTTAAAAAGGGAGGATTTTAAAGGGCTCACCCCCTAAGTATCCATGTTTAAGTAGTAACCGTGTGACAGTTGCGTCTGGTCACTGTAAGAGAGGCACACCCAAGGAGGTGGCAACCAGTGCGCAATTACAGAAACTATCGCTTTAGTGGCATCACAGAATAAACCCATCGCGTGCTCCAAAGAGAAGCCTGGACACAATATGGTCTAAAAACTCACCCATTTGCATTTTATTTTAATAGTATGCCATCTATCAGTATACATAGATAATGAAGGAAGAATGATTTTGCTTGTTATTACTACCAAGATACATATATAAATGGTGAATAGTCAATAAAATAAATAGCTCTTGCAAAAAGCACATCTACTATTCTCCCCTATACCAGTAATGTTCATACTGTTATTAGCTCTGACTAAATATTAAGAGCCCCAACTGTTAAATATTTTTTTCCCAGACTTTCCAAATCTAATCATGCTGATCAATTGGATATGGGCACTTACACATGGGATGCTAACTCACAAATGGAGCCTGTGATTAGTTAAGATAACAGACAGCGCTTACTTCATAGGAGGAAATGATGCTTGAGAACATTAATGATCTCTATGCTGAGATTGTGAATCATTTTTTGAACAAATTTACCCATGTCAGTTGTTTATCTTTTCTATTACTGCACGGAATGTGGACTATTATGAGGTAAAAATGTTTTCTCCAGCTGTACACATGTTACTACAATTATGTCCTGTCTATTACTATTAGAGTTGAATTTCTTAAGAATTCAGAATTTCTGAAGAACTAGTTAGATCATTGTCAGAAAAAAAATTTAAACAAGGGGCAATTTTTTTGTTAATTTGGAATTATGTTAAATAATAAACTAAGTTAGCCAAAAATAAACTGTCTAATATGAGGAATAACAGCTTTACTCTTACTTCTAGAAAGACTTTCCTTCTAACTCTCCAAAAGTTAGGAGAATAACAAAGTCATTCTAACACCATTATCTAATTTCTACTTATCCCCCAAAGAATGCTACATAACAAAGATTAAAACATGAAACACTACATCTTATATAACTTATCTAACTTGGCAAATATGAGCCCATAAGAAAAGTATTCTAGAGAGAACACTTGAGTGTCTTTCAAACAGAAACAATACTACAACTGTTTTCCCTCCTGCAGACTTAGAGATGTTTGTCAGTGTCAGCATCTGATAAGAGAACTTAATTCGTTCTCTGATGTTTTCCTGTTCATAAGGTTTAATGGCAACAGTAAAGTCATAGTTAATCAGCATCTCATGCAAACAAATGACTTAAATTCCATGGTACGATGACAAATATTTTCATGAAAAGTGATGGCACGTCTACAGAAGAGATAAGAGCTTCAAAAACAGCTTCATAACTGTCTATCTCCATGAAGCACAGATAAAATAAATGCATTGCTGCCATTCTGAGTAGATGTTTCCTTTCTTAGATCTCTTTATAAAAGCTCACTCTTGTTTTTATTTAAATAAAGATACCCATGCCTTTGCCCTTACTTAAACTCAAAACAGAATTGATCCATTATGATATATTCTTTTAGCAAAGTAGACTTTATTATAACTGTGATTTTATACTATCAAAAGGATTTAGTGTTATATATCACAGAGAGAAATTAATTTCTATACAGCAAAATACTTTAGAGAAAGAGATATTTTATAAAGGTTCTCATTGGTCTAGCAATTTTGTTGAAAGTTGAATACTAACACTCTCTTCAGTAAACACAAGAGCTATGAGGAGCAAGGTTAGTCCCAGGGTTATGAGAAGAATACTTATCAAATGACATAAAATGGTTCAGATCCTTCTGAAATGACAAATGAACAGCTCCCCAAGTCCATCTAATTCCCAATTAGCCTTTGCATTTTCCAGATAAATATTGGCCAGCGATTGAAAGGGGGAAGGAATAGGTAAAAGAATATGAGAGATTTTCAAAAATATTTCATTACTTTATTTGGTTGACTAAGAAAGAGCAATTGCTCACCTAAATTTATTGGACCAATAGAAAACAGAACAAATCTTAACAGATTCTTCTGAAGACAGTTGGTAAAAGTACCAAAATTTAGTTTCCTGTGGTATTTTCATTACAGTATCACCAGCTTTCCAACAATACTCAAATCCAGAATTAAAAACCATGATTGCATAGCTTTTTCTATTGATTTGTTTCCTACCAGAATAAAGGATGGGATAAAGGGAAATTAATTATATTAACAGTGGAACTGAAAAACCTATTATAAGGCTGAACAAATATTATGAGATATTACAGAATTTGGGGAAAAAATGTAGTAGGACAATGTGTTTTTTCCAGATTGGCCTAAAATTGGGTGTTCCAGATTAATCCCATAGTATCTTTCTATTCCCTCAATGAGCTACACTTTACCCACTTGACCATTGCGAGGAAAAACAAAAACAAAAACAAAACCCCACTTTTCTTGGAAAAAAATATAAATATCAATGGAACTCTCCTATAGAAGATCTTTGTTCTCAAAGTTACTCATTATTTTGTATAAAATTAGATTATGTCATAACTTCTTGGTCATAACTTTTTTCATTCCACAAGATTGGTTCTAATCAGCTAGACTTCTAATCAAGCCTTCTTGTTCTATTCTCACTGGAGATGCTTGGTTATTCTTTCATGTATCATAATTTTGGAACAAATCCCACTACCAGTTTGTGAAGCTATCTTTCTTACCTACCCAAACCTAGGTTTATGATAGTCAAAACAAAAAGGAAACCATTCTTCATTCTACATTACAGATCTCAATACAATACTAATGATCTAATTTCCTGAGTCTCTGGGTTGTTTTAATCTTTAATTTTTGCTATCTATTGTCTTTTTCCATTGCATGATAGCCCAGTAGAGAAAAGAAATCAATTCCCTATTCCATTCTGAACTTATTCTTCATTATAATTTTCAATAGCAGACACATAGCAGTAATATTGCTATTATTTGGCTATACACAGTAGGCAAAGAGTTGAAACACCTATATTTTAAAAGACATGAAGGTTCCTGTTTGTGGTGCATTTTTTTCTCTGTAACTATATACAAATAACATCTGGGCTCTTCAAGTGCTTACAAAAGATTTCCTTTATGCACATGCATTCATTTTCTTTCATGCAATAAATATTCAGTGGGTACCTAGCAAGCACAAGGCATTGTTCTAGATAATGATTGATGGAAGGAAAAACAGACATATAGATAATACCTGCACACATTAGATATTACTTTATAATAAAATACAAGTGGCTTCTATCAGTCTAGACAAGATCATGAGCCTGCAACAGTGCTCATTTGCATTGTTACAGTAGCCATGTTCACCTCAGATCCAGTGATAGAGTGGAGCTTACTCCATCATCAACTTTCAGGAAGTGACAGTGTTGCAGAAAGACTAAAAGGAGATGGAGTAGGTTTGCTGAAAGTCATTTTTTACCTGTAGAAACCTTGAGGGAGTAAGGAAGCACCTAGTGTTTCATGATACAATGCACGCCTTACTGTCAAGCACATACCCCTGCTCAGGTGATGATAAACTGAGTTGAAATCTCAGGAGTAAATCAGATGTGGGAAAGAAAAATGATGGGCTCTCTTTATGTATGTGTTACATACATGTAAGTCCACAGTTCTCAGAAGTATATAAACAAAGCTGTGTATATCACATTCCGCAGTGAGAGAAGTTAATTAGACAGGGACCAGCAAAGGCAGATACTTTTCATAAAAATGAAGAGAACAACATTCTTAGGCAGATGGGCCACTACTCTTTCAGCAGATGGCTTTGTTAATTAGATACTGGCAAGAGATAACATTTTTTTAAAAAACTAGTTTAATTACACAGTGCCAAAAATTAACAACCACCTGAGGGCTTTTTTTAACATGTTTGCATTCATATTCTTATGTCATATATTTCTGTGAAACGCTAGAGGATGTTAAATTGTCAGGGCAATTATAAACAAATTGCCAGGGACTGTGAGGCCATACCTTTGTGCAAAATGGAAGCAAACACCAACTAGTTGGAACCTGGAATAACTGTGGGTTTTTTTTAATGTAACTTGAGTAAAGTATCGATCTAGTTGTTCTTGAGCATAGACATCATCGCTAATGAACTTTCATGGCCACATGTGACAGGTTTAAAACAAGTGGCATGCTGTGTGCACTGAAAGGCATAAAGTGACTTTAGTCACTTTGGAAAGATTTGTCCAACTTTCCTCTCCACCTTTCCATCATGGTGGATATTAAGTGTACTTGTTCATTTTTAATATTAATTTGCCAAATACTTGAATTTATGTCCATGTCAAATACAGGGCAAGTCGTGTCATTCTTACAGTGATCTCTGAGAATCAGAGAATTGGGAGGGGACTTTTTATCATCTAAGTACAGTTTTTTGATTCTTGTTACACTAATATCCTCCAAAATTAGAGATATTGCAAATCATAACCTTAGAGAGTCTCATAAGCATGTATTATTGTCATTTATAAACCTTATTTATTTATCTTCACCCAAGGATATATTTTCATTGCTTTTAGAGAGGAAGAGGGAGACATCAATGTGAGAGAGAGACATGGATATGTTGTCTTCTCATAAGCACACCAACCTGGGATTGAACCTTCAACTCGAGTATGTGTCCTGACGAGGAATCAAACCGGCAACTTTTTGGTCTATGGGACCACATTCCAACCAACTGAGCAACACCAGCTAGGGCTTTAAAACCTTATTTTAAACCCCAAGATTTTCTTGCACATATTATCAAATCAAACTTACTTTGAAGTCTATGCAATGGAACTCTCAATTTGTTAAATGCTCATT